GCACGAGAAAACAATATTACGATTATATTTTAAATTAAATATATAAATAACATTGATCATGATCTACCCATTGTTTTAAATTAAACCGGGTTGGACACAGTCGACCGGATGGATCGAGAACCGGTTTATAATTCGCTTGAATAAAATATTTGCTATTTAATTTATCAACACCAGTTGATTGGACTGGTAGGATCGGTACGATTTTCTAAATAAATTTTTCTACATTTAAAATTAGTGTAAATAAAATTACATATTTAAATAAAATAGAGATTTATAAATTGTTTATCAATTAGTTTAAACATTGGATTTATACATCATTTAGATATTTAAGTAGCAAAAATTTTATTTAAATTTATTACAAAAAATCTTATATATATATATATATATATATTAAAATGTTTATAAATTAAAATATGTAGAAACCACAAGTGATTTAATAAAATAACTTGGTCGTTTCGATGACGGTCCGGTTCTGAAAACCATATATATTTACTGTACATTAATAAAGATTATAATAAAATTATTTTATTCACATAAATATTACTAAAATGATATATAAATATTTATAAATTATTAAACATGTTGTCATAAAAGTACTGTTAATATGATTATTTGAAGTTTGGACTGCATCACATTCACGTAATAAAGTATTTTTCAATATTAAAATTTATATTTAGATTCAATAATCGATTTGGTCTGGTCCAACTGATACATAACTTAGTCACCTGGGACCAACCAAGTTGTGTCAAGTTTTTTGACTATTTTAAATATCACCTAAAAGTAATTCAATCAACATGGGCAGTACCCTAATTCAATCACCCGATTGATCCAAGAAATTTCCTTATTTTCTAATAAAATATTTTATGATTCATAATAAATGTCTACACCAAATGATAGTATATTAAAATTATAAATTATATATCTAAAGATGAATTAATTATTTTTACTATGCATATTAATAAAAAATAAACATAATAATTTTCAAAAAATTAATATTAATTGATTGATTATCAATTTAAAATATATTTTTAGCGTTCAATATTTTTTTTTTTTTTTCTAAAGACACAAACATATAGACCGAGATTGTAAAACTTTTGTTATATTTTGAATTGAGATTTTATAAATATAGAGACCGAGATCTTAAAAGATCTTAGACATATTTTTTAAATAATAAAAGGAACTAAAGCTCGAAATTTAAGGTAACATTTAATGTTGTATGTATTTTAAAGAAATAATAATAAAATTTATGAAACTTATTATTTATAAGTTGCATTAAATGCTAACTTATACTTTTGCTACAATTTTTGGTAAATAGGTTGTCTCCAATTAACCAATTTTAATTAACAATTGTATTTGACAACTGAAACTTTGCAATTTTATATGTTTTTTTATTTATGTTTGTTTACAATTACGTAAATAAACGACTTGATTGAAATTTTATCAATAGTGTTTTTTGTTCGTTTTATTTATAACCAGGTAAATAAATGACTGGAGTATAACTTAGGGATAAGACATATTTTCTGATATGATTCGGAGATAGATCAGAAAAGGAAAATAAAATGCAAATATTGTGAATTTGAGTATGTAATTATCACATTCTGCAATATTTTATGATTTGACTAATATTTTGTTATGAATGGTATTTAGTTAATTAAATCCCTTAGACTAATATCCAAATTCATAAAGGTAAGCGGTTTGTTTAATTATATTGAATAAATTATAATTTCATGATCTGACTAAAAATTTTTAAATTTCTTAAATTATATTTGTCAATCCTCTCATTTAAAGTAATTGAATACTCACCCAAACTAAAAATGATATGGAGTAAATATATCATAATGATATGAGACGCAACTTTATTTTTTCAATTGAATACTCTGACGTGATTTTTTTTGTGAAAAAATAAAAGGTGCCAAACAAATCAATTGAATTAGTCCCAATATTTGGTGAAAAAGGTTGTTTCCATGATAAAGTTTTAAATGAACTGTAAATTGTGTAATTTAACAACTTTTCAAATTTTAAGGTTAAATTAATGTATTCCCCATTTTTTTAAATAAAAATAAGTAACAAATGCCACAATTTATAGGCATGTTTAATGTTATCCGATTTTTTGGGAAAAAAATATTAAAAGTTACTATTAATAGAATGTAATAAATGCAAATTGAGTTTGACCAGAGTTTGACCTGCTATTTTTTAAAAATGGTAAATCTTATTATATATATATATATAGATATATAGATTTCATAGCTCAATAAGTCAATCAAGAGTTATTGTCAACTAGAGCAATTAAAATAAAAGTTGTACTTAAAATATGCATAGAGCATCACAAGTCGCTAGGGCTATAACGCCATGTAATTAACTGTGATTATAATTTAGCTCTTCCATTTATTTTTGTGATAATATTATGTATTTTTAATTAGCAATAGTTAGAGATAAATATCACCAATTATTGCCTACGTCAGTCAAATGGTTAGACGAGTCGAGTCGGCATATTTTATGAATTCATAAAATATGCCAACTCGACTCGTCTAACCATTCGAATAAAAATACATACATATTACAATAAAGTGGAGCTCTTTCTCTTCCCACAATTTTTTTCTTACCATTTTAAGTATAACATTTCAATTTAAAAAAAAAGCTTAATTGCTAATAAATTCATGACTTTTTCGAAAATTGCAATTATATGCATCACTTTTAAACTTGGCAAATATATACATCACCTTTACAATTTTTGGCAATTGTATGCACCGAGCCCAATTTCGGGCTTTGACTGCCGACATGGCTGCTGAGTTTAAAATATAACTTATATTTTCGTAAACTCAGCAACCATGTCAGCAGTCAAAGCCCGAAAATAGACCCGGTGCATACAATTGCCAAAAATTATAAAAGTGGTGTATATATTTGCCAAGTTTAAAAGTGATGCATAAAATTGCAATTTTCAGAAAAGTCATAGATTTATTAGCAATTAAGCCAAAAAAAAAACGTATATATATAAATTCAATAATAATAGTTAAGAAAATTTTGTTGCGCCTAATGGATAGTCCTGTCCAATAATAATAATAATTCTTTTCATGAAAATTTTCATATTTAATGGTAAAAAAAAAACTTCAAATAGTTAAGAAAGAAAAAAAAACTTTTTCTGATAGAGCAAAAGTTACAGAAAATGGACCACCAGTTCATCACTATTTCAGCCCTAAACTGAAGAGTGACTTACACAATCACAGTTCACACCACAATCTAAAGGAGAGTCCTTCAATCAAAATCCTAAATTATAAACTCACCCACATGATAAAAACTTAATTTACAACAACAAACTAAACTCATTAATAAGGTTCAATCAAACATCAAACACAGCTTTAACTAATTGCATCCCGTGTTAAGAAGGCCCGAAACAACCGAAGAACTCAGTCTCGAATTCTCACCATCGCTCGTGCTGAAAAACGAGCTCCCAATTTTACTGTCTGGCGGCGAAAACCCGTTGGAGAGGATGATTTCCTCGAGCTCCTTACGAAACCCGTTTTTCGCGTTCTCATTCGCGTCTAGCTGCCTAAGAAAGCATTCCTCGATGTCGCTAAGGGATGATTCGGGCTTGTGTCGGTTTTTGCTGCTGCACGGGCTGTATAAGTCCTGTTCGTATTCCTCGTCTGAGCCTGGCCCGGTTGACTCGCCTCCGGTTTCTGTTTCTTGTTGGCTCTCGTATTCCTCCTCGTCAGTCTGCCTAACGGAAGAGCTTCGAGAAGAGAGGAGGGGCGAGTACTCCCCTTCGCGTTCGCGTAGTGTTTTTGTGATGAGAGTCTTGAGCAAGTTCATCACTTGAACGGCGTGCATGAGGGCAGTCAGGGGATCCGCCATCTGGCACGAAAGTAGAAAACGCCACATCAGCAGCAAGTTCATTAAGCTCGTCGAACCATTTTAAGGGGTCATTTGAGATGTTACAATCTTCTCAAAATCAATTTTTGGCAATTATTCTTTCCTATTTTAAGAACTGTGCATAATAAAGCTGTTAATTTAAGAGGTTATGGTTATAAGCTGTTCTTTAAAAGAGGTTAATGATCCTTTTTTTTTTCGACAAACTATAGTATTCACTAATTTAATTATCACGACATGCCCCTCCATATAAAGTCTCGAATATTACGACAAAACACCAGATTGAGTTCCTTTTTTTCGAATCACCTAAGTCATATTCGGTGCAAAAAACATTTTATATGGGTCATTTGAGATGGCTTTTATTGTCTCGTATATTACGACAAAACACCAGATTGGGTTCGTTTTTTTCGAATCACCTGAGTCATATTCGGTGCAAAAACCATTTTATAAGGGTCATTTGAGATGGCTTTTATTTTAAGCTTGTCGAACCATTTTAAGGGTCATTAATCTCTCAAAATCAGTGATATGTGTATAAAGCAGTTAATTTGAGAGGAACTTATAAGCTGTTCTTAAAAGAGGTTGTTAAAGATCCCTTTTTTTTTTTTTTTGACAAACTATAGTTTTCACTAGTTTAATCACGAAAAGCCCACCATATAAAGTCTCGAATATTACAACAAAAAAAAAACAAGATTGGGTTCGTTTTTTTCTAATCACCTGAGTCATATTCGGTGCGAAAACCATAGCAATATTTCTGGCATTCATTTTGTTGAAATCTTCTTGCTCCACCACATCAGCCATGAGATTGACAGCCCAACTTAGTAAGCCACTCTCGGTTGGCTTTAGCTGCTTAATCAACTCGTCCGAATCTTCCTCGGTATTGCACTGCAAAACCTGCTCGGGAGAGAGCCCGTCGAGCACGCCAGCTGGCAGCTCACGGAACCAGGCTTTGATCAAACCTGCCAAACAATGAACATCGATATCTTGAGGCACAATGCCTCTGTTGAGCTGATCTCTCACATGTTCCTCCTTGCTATTTTCAGGGTTTATCCGAAAAATTCCTTCTGACTGCAAAACATTATTATGCAAAAGAAAATAAAAAAAGGCATATATATAAGTTTGTTTCAGGCTGTTAAAAGTTCACAACAATAAAATCTAAAGAGTAAGCATGCTGAAGTTTTTATTTTTATTTAATTTTTTCCTTTTTTCAACATTTTAAAATTTGTGTTTTCCCTTTACCTTTAGACCACCTTGTGAGTACAATCTTTCCTGCATCAGTAATAGAATTGTTGGAACGCTATTGCCCCTATTGTCGTAAGAGCATTGCATCGACTCGGCAGAGACCCCGAATACACTTACACTGCATGAATTGATGATACAAAAACAGTGTCACTGCATGAATTGATTCAAAAAACTAATTTCTGACAAGAACAGATCCTTAATATGAATTTTTCGGTGTGCGAAATATCATTTCGAAAAGATAGCTAGAATTCAAGATTATGGTCACACGAGCCGGAAGTTTTGGTCATGTAATATAAAAGGTTAAAAAAAATGTCATCTTTAATGAAGGATCAAACTAAGAACAGCTTAATTCAGCTCTTGATATCACATCAACTTAATTTTCTGCAATTATCTTTGAGGTCCAATGATTCTTAAAAAGCACATAATGACTCCTATTAAGAACTGAACATACAACTTTCTTTGACAGCTAGTGACATCTGACCTTGTAGATGATGCATTAACTATGTACCAACCTCATCTTTTAATGTTGCCCCATGAGCTGGGCAAGAGCAATTTAAGGAAAGGTTTTCAATTTTCAAGCTACTACATTAATGGCATCAATATGTCTTACCAAGCACCTAGTAAAGGCAAGTAATTTAAACCTAAAATAGAAACAAAAGGGCTCCCAGATTTCTTCATAATGTAAATAATGAACAATAATAGAAATCATTTCAAGATTTTCAAACTACTCTTTAACAATATTCAACAGATTTCAGGTTCTAAAATTATAGTACTATGAAATCAATGCTGCAAATACCCACATAATTATTGATTCATTAACTCTGGAGTAATCTCTAATTATCTAAACTTACATGAAACTATGCAGTCTATGCTCCTCGTATAAACATTAGGCAAATTTCAGCATAGAAGAACACCAAATAGAATAAAAATCCAATCTTTAATAACTGAAGAAGCTTGAAACAATTTAACTTAGTGAAAAATAAAAATACCAACAGGCAAAAAGAGCCAAAAGATAGCAAAAAACCAAACAAGAATGAGCAAAAGAAATCGAAAAAGGGCAAGCGATAAAGATTTCGAAACATATAAAGACAACCCAGCAAAAACAAAAACCAAAAAAAAGGAGCAAACTTTTTTAGCCCCTTTTGTACACATACCTAGCACTCGGAGCTCGGCAAGGAACCTCGACCTCAAACTCGACCGGAAGCCCCAAAAACCCGTGAAATCTGTCGAATGTGACGTGGGTTATGTGGCGGACGTTCGTTGGCCAACCGATTTCCATGTGCCGGACGGCGGAGATCACCTCATGGTCCCGCCGGTCGACCCGGCATGTGGACACCATGGATTTCCTCAGAGCAGATAGGATGAAGTCCAGCAGAGACAGCTGGCTCTGCTGCTCCGCCTCCGCCTCCGCGGCGGCAGATTTGGAGCTCTTGCCGGCGCACCCGACGGCGGCCCGAGTCACCATAACCATACCAGTCATGTGTCCTTGCTTTCTCTCTCTCTAGAAATCTGGATAAGCGAGTTTCAAACGAACGGGTGAAATTTGATTGGGGGAAAGAGCATTGAAGGAAGAGAGGAGTTTTTTGAAGTTTGAAGTGTGTGTTTTATTTTAAGTGTTTTGTGTGTGGTTTTCAAACGGCACACTCTATTTCAAATTCTTGCTTTGTCTGCTTTTTGGTTTTTGCTTAATGGATTTGGCATTTTTTGTAATAAAAAAAAAAAAATGGTTTTTGGGTGTGTGTGTGTGGGGGTAAAATGTCCATTTTGCCACTATGTGAATAAATTAAGTGTGTGTCAGTGTGTGTAGGTGGGTGGGTGAACCCCCTTTGAAGTTTATTAAATAGCCATTTTTATTTTTATTTTATATATGATTTTTGTCTTTAGTAACTTATCTCCTATTTCGGGCTCGGAAGGGGTGTGTTGGGCTGCTTTTGCAACTTCTATTTCGAGCTCTTTCTCATTAGTTATAGCCGAAGCCCTAGCTCTCAGGTTCGGCCTCCGCTTTGCGCTTGAGGCGGGATTCGCGACCTAATATGCCAAGACAGACGCTCTTGCGGTTGTTTGTGGTTTGTTAGATATGTCGTCACACGATCCTTTGCATCATGTTTTGGTGGACATATTATCATTTTTGTTTCTTTTAGACTGTGGGTCTTGTTATATTGGTAAAAATTTGAATTCTGTTGCTCATTGTCTAGCTAATACGGCTATGTCGTTGATGGAACCTTCCTTTTGGAAGGATTGTATCCCTGTCTTTTTTATCTCATCTCTTTGGTGATGTTCGGAGAGATGGACTCTATTAAGTTTTAATTATGATGTTGGTATGAAAAAAATAAATAAATAAATAAATAAATATCCATTTATTTATTTATTTTTTTATTTATTTATACTTTTGGCCTTTAGTTTATGTGATTGAAAGGGGCCAAAAGGGGGAGGATAGCAAAACATGGTGAATTGGACCAGCCACATATTCTTAGTTTACATATCAATTGATCTTGTGAAAATATGCATGTGAAAAGTTTATTACACAATCAAACACTGATTTATAAGTGGTTTCTTTTAGTTTTGGGTGAGATAAACAATACTTTGCGAATTGCGAGGGTTGATATTTTATGCACAAGAAATGTAGAACCGAACCGATCCAAACCGACGTAACCAATTTGTTCCGATTATTTAAAAAAACATTTTTTTACTGTTCAACCTAATTTATACATATTAAACATATATTATGTTATGGTTCAATCTAATTTATGCATATTAACCTAATAGTGAAAAATATGTGCCCAATATACATGTAATTTATGTGATAATAACTAACCGATTTTGATTCTCGGTTTTTAAGCTTCGGTTTGTATTTATATATATTTCGGTTCTCATATTTTATGATATATTTTTTTGTATGTGATTAGTACTTTTTGACCAATTTTAACTCAGAACAAATTATTAATGATTATTATAGTTGAATTAACCAAACTAATATAACACATTTCAATTTTTCTTTTCCAATTTGTTTGGAGTTTAAATATTAATCGAACCGATTCTATCCAAGCAATTCCATATTACTAAAAAAAGAGAGAGACAAGAACTACAAACTAACTCAGGTCACAATACTCGTGTACTACAATGTCTCGTATAAGAAATGTGTATGTGGAGATTGGATACTCAAATTACATTTAAACATTAACAAGGCAAATTGGATGTTCCAAAAATGGTTTTATCTTATTCCTATCTTAGTTTATCAAGAGTGTAGATAATGACTTAAACAAGTCTTAAACTAATTATTCAGTTAATCAGTTTAGTACAAGATTCAAAGGGGTAAATCGGACAATTAATGTTCGTTTTAAATGGTATAATACCGTTGGTTGAAAGGCAATAATCACTTTTAGTCTTGCAAAGAAAGTTGCTTTTAGACCCAAGTCAAAAATCATTAGTGCTGAGGAATTAATATGGGCCTTCAACCATGTAAACCCAGATGACCAAGCCCAGATTCATTTATCGGGCCTCTGTATGCTTTGTAGAAGTGTTAGAAGAACGAGTCGTTCGGAAGCTCAGCTCGAAAGTCATAGTAATACTCGAATTGGGCTTGTTAATATTATTAAACAAGCCAAGCTTAATTTATTTATCGGTTTATTTTATTTATTAACAAATCCAAACTTAAATTTCAATAATAATTTCCACGTGTAATGGTTGGGGTGGGTAACAAACCAAGCATTTCTGTATTCAATTTCAAATATATTAACATTATGCATATAATTGTTATTAGAACTTGTGTTAAAGTTGTTGTTCTCTAAAACAACAACTATAGGCATTTGTAATAATAGACTTTGTGTTAAAGTTGCTGTTTTATAAATAGCAACTATAGGCATTTGTATTTTTACTATTTTGCCATTGTGGAAACCCTAGATATAAATAAGGGATCACCACATATTGTACTTCACTTTTTACTTTTCATTTTCAGTTCTTCTTCCGCAGCCAAACTCTCCCTCTGTTCATTGTACAATCGTTCATCTTGTTTAATGAAAATCATTCAGTTCATTGTTCAATTTCCAGTCTAATATGGTATCAGTCGTGTTTGATCCATTGTTTTTCTGCTTCCGCACATAGTTCTTCGATCAAAATCTCCATCTCTGAGATTCTTTGTTCGAATTTTGATATTTTTTTCCGATTATCGTTTTTTGTTCGTGATCTCCATCTCTGAGATCTGTTGT